TATTTATTTATTTATTTATTTATTTTATTTATACAGAGGCCATCTTGGGTTCAACATGGAAATAGACCTCACGCCAACCGAGAATTCTCGTGGAATACTCTAGGAGGACTAGACCAGCCTGAGTCCTTCCTGAACCCATTGACTTGCGAAGAAACTAAGCTTGGAACGGAAACGCAGTTAGCAAGCTCGCTAGTCACTATCGGGTCTTGGAACCGTAGGACGTCGGTACCACTCAACGTCACTCCCGAATAATTACCAAACGGAGACCAAAGGTGATACCCTTTTATGTTTGCACTTCCCGAAAAGCTTTGAGAATTTCTAGTGGGGCCTTCATCTCATAGGTGAAGTCAATCCCTGCTGAAAAGCAAACAATCACTATAAAGCTGGTTCTTTGTTACTCGAAACCATCGACAGTCGGAATCTCCTTTGGAGATGATTTTCGTTGGGTGTAGCATGTCTGACTTTTGTGATCCCTTTCGGACAAAAGCAGACACAAGGAACCATGAAAGCTGGTGCCCTTCCCCGCTTCTGACTGTTCCGCGTGTTCAAAGTGTTCAAATTCTCGCGTGCCGCCTAAAGTTTCATTCGAATCCGAAAAAGCTGAACCCATTTCAGCCATGTATGGATCTTAAATGACTCACTTAGGGGGCAAACTTTAGTTCGCCTCAGCCTGCTTGATGAGTGGTGCTCACATTCACCGGCTGCAGAAAAACACTCGTTTGTCATATGTCGAATTTTCAGTAGCTTGGGTGTCAACTGGGGACGTACTGCCTGCCAAGCTCGACAAGCCGACCATTACTTGCAGATCGAGTTAACGTTACCATGAGACTCCATTGAATCTCGGATGGGCCTCCCGCATACAAGCTGCTACATGTTTTCATGTACACTCCTGGTGGAAATTCGAGGACCAGACCTCCAAGGCGAATCACAAGAGAGGGGAAAAGCGGAATCAGGCTGTCCAGGGTCTTCAAGTGACCTTATGAGCGGTGTCTTGTCAGGACAGAGGATGCTGGCCCACGGTGACCCGATCGATGGTCCCCAATTCGATACCACAACCCAGCTGGAATTAATCTGAGCGGTGTTCAATAACTATCCAATCGGAATGCTAGCCTTCATTCCAACTATGAATTACTCAAGTCAGATTAAGCAACGAGATGTTGTGAGGCTTTCGTGTACAGTATTTTACACCCAAGTATTCTGTATGAGTCACCGAATTTCAAGGTCACTTGATTTGTACAGGTTTCAATGGGATCATGATCGGGCCCCTACTTGTGTACTTTTATTCATAAGGATGGATTTCCGGATTGCCACCAAGATAATATTCATTTTGAGACCAGCTAAACTGATCAGAAGCGCTTTTTGAGGTGTGCGTAACAATTTTTGCACGCTTACTGGAACGTTACACATGTGATGTGATCGTGGAACTTGGTCAGCCATCCTTCTGAGTGTCGATCAGTCCAGGAAAAACCATGGTACCCATTTAAACTCGAACTATGAATTATCATGTGTTACACAACACCCATCCTCCACCTCCCATCGATCGTCCGACTGTGGACTATTCTCAAGAGGTTGTGTGATTCGCCCTCTAATTAAGGGTTACCGTATCCAGTACCTTCTTGGTCGAACGATCCACTCAGTTTTCTCATGCTTTCCCTTGGGAATGGGGTTTAAACTGACGATAAATCGCCGTTTTACTGTCTCTTGGGGACCGGAATACCTGATGAACTTTTTTAAATAATCGAATTCAAACACACGATATTGTTGTAAGATTTTATTGGTTATGTCTATGACCGATCAGATTCGTTTCAATTCAGGCTAGGATTTCCAAAGTATCGCTGTGAGATGACTTGATGAACGAAATTCGTCAGTTCGATCCAGCTTTTTGTTCTCAAAATGAACCGAATTCTAAGCCCTTAGCTTTCCCTGAATCTGAAGCCAAGCATCTTGAGAGAAACAGAGTCTCTTGTTCTCTTATTAAGGCCTCCAGCTTTTTTTTCTGCCGATGCACCCGACGGTCTTGGTGCGGAGTTTTGACTGTGGTTCAGTTGAGTCCATTGATGACAACGGCAACAATCTGATCTGCGTTTCGCTCAGAACCATTTAATTGACGGCTAATCGTTTAAATAAAACGTAATAAAAACGTGACCCCCAAGTCCACAGGAGCACTGTCCCGCTGTCTCACCTCCAGTGTGGACCATCGGAACTGTCTGATCTGCGTTTCGCTCAGAACCATTTAAATGACGGCTAATCGTTTGAATAAAACGTGATAAAAACGTGACCCCCAAGTTCACAGGAGCACTGTCCCGCTGTCTCACCCCCACTGTGGACCATCGGAACTGCGCAATAGTCGGAACCAGAGACCCACGAGTGGCTGATCAGTCGTCCGACTGAGTAGCACTCAGACGGGAAAGAGCACCACTCACCCTTCAATTACGGAAACCAAATCCCACAGTCATGTGTTGATTGGACAGCATAAAAAGTGGATTCACTTGCGAGACGAAATATCAGCGGAAAATTACGAGATCACCTTAATCTACTATTGGACCTGTAAATCGCACAATAAAAGATTGAATTTCACGAGATGACAAGTCGTCACTCGATCAGTCAGTGGAAAGGGACACAGTAATCCGAACAAGAAGCAATTAAAGTAGCGTCTCGGTTTAGCTAGGTTGGAACAACCAACAACCACTTCATGTCCGATACGAACAGTGAGAGTAGGTTTCAGTTGTGGATTTAAAACAATACTGACGATGTGCGATATGCATTCAGACCATACTAAAGATGTGCCGGTATACTGACAAACGGCATGAGATCCGATTTTCTCCAGAAAGTACGTTGTACGCTTCCCATTACTTATCCCTCTAGTGGGCAAAATTATTTCATCAAAAGGACAAGACAGACCGCACCTTGTTCGTTGAAGTCTTCTTGGAATTTAAAGTTCATCTCAACAAACTGTCCACTAAAATAGACCACGTCCGGTCGACTCTTTATCCGGGAAGACTGCAGAAGACTTTAGAATAAAAGACCTTGGGGATAGAGCAGTTCTCAGCAGGGAATGAAGAGGGGGGTGGTTCGATCCGGTTTTCACCTCACCTGTTCCAAAATGTCTTCCCATGGGGCTCAGCGACGTTTAGCATACGACAGCGAACTCTGGCAACGAACTGACGGTTGTGGCGCACTGGACACGACATGAGCTCGAACAGCCCAGGTGGAGACACCTCCCACAGCGTAGATGCACGATCACCCCAACCTAACCTGAACTGTGTTAGAAGAAACTCCAGACGATGAGTGCTTTTATACTCATCAGTTGAAAATTGAGCCTCCTGGTCTTAAGTCGGCCAACTTTTGAACAGTGAAATGCATCAAGGAACTTTACAGCTAATGAGTTATCTTGTCGCTCTAAAGGCGATTAATTCTTTGTAATGTCTACTCATAAAGGTTGCTGAAATCCGTCGACAGCCCACGACCGATTTCGCCCTTCCACTTCGGGATCATCAGGTAGGCACAGTCCCCGGGTTTCCATCAAATTCAAATATCGTAGCGACTGAAACATGAGGCGGCCTGGGGCAGCACATTCAGTTGTCTGAGAACATCACAAACGAGAGATTCAGCTGGGTTCCAGGTGAGTCTCTCGAAAAACCAACTTAGTTTGCAAATGAGTGTATATTCGCGTTTACTTCTTCTATTTTGTTGAATGAAAGTTTTTTATCGAAGCGATACAACCACCATAGAAAAAACTTGGAAACGGGAGAATTTGACAACTACTTGGATACCCCAAGACGGTTCACAGAACAATCAAAACGCCTTGAACCGTAGTCCATCTCAAACAGATTCACATCCAGGTGTGGTAAGGGCATTCCGTGATACCTGGTTTGTATGCCCATCAATAAGGTACCCTCGAGGTCTCTGATGGGCTCAGCTTGTCCACTCAACAAGTAGCATTCACCGAACGAGCTTCTGCTCATTGCGTGTCTCCCGGTATTGGGCCAGTTTACACGTGCCTACGTCACTGACGTCAACCTTATCGTCATTGGTCGGTCGATTATGACTCCAACCTGACAAGCTGAACTTATAATCAATATAAAGATAATTTGTATAGAACCAAATTAGAACCGATAGAAAATAATGCTGTGGATATCCGAAACTACAAGTTGTCTTCGAGAAATACACTCATTTGCAAATAAATTTGGTTTTCACGAGAGACTCAACTGAATCTCTCTTTTATGATATTCTACAACTGAATGTGCTGCACACAGGCCGCCTCATGATACAGCTGGCACGATATTCGAGCTGTCGCAGTACATTTTCATAAAGAAAACTACTCACAAGTTTACTGAAAATTCCTCGAAAGCCCACGACCGGTTTCGCCCTTACAAGAGTTTTCAGCAACTTGTGAGTGGTTTCCTTTATGAAAATACAAGTCGTCCTCGTTTACTAGCTACCTGGAAGGACCACCAGAAGAGAATGACAGTGATCTGCCATCTCTACAGGGGAACACCTGTGTTCCCATATCCACCATGCCAGTAAATATTGAGCCTCGTTCGAAAGTTCGGTATATCAAATGAGGAGAATTCCTAGTGGGCATAGATGGGGAACTTGTTCATGCTCTGAATTTGGGACTTCATGCGATTTGTTTTGAGCTGAAAAGCCTCCCTACCTTGAGGCCGCAAGGAAGTTCATTTAGTCCCTATGAGAAAAGAGACTACGTGTCATACTACACAAGTTTTCAACCTGCATTCTCTCTGATCACAACTGTTAGTACAAATACGTTGAAGAATGCTCAATTGGCTGGGGTTGTAACAACGACCGCATGACGACTGTATTACGTTTGCACCAGTTAGCCTAAGATAACCGAATTCGGTAGGCTGGACCTCATCATAAATTGTTCTGGCGAGTGGACTCAACTGGAATTTTCCACACAAAAACTCTGTCAGGTAAACTTCCCACATAGATTGGTGGTGAGTTGGTTCATTAATTGGTGACCTTCAATCTGTGGTTTTCTCACGTGAACCCTGGGCTTTTCGTTGTACATACTCGAAAGGTTCTCCAAGACCTTCGTCTCTGCTACTCCGCTAACTTGCTCCGCTACTGCCAGCTTGGTTGCAGCAATTTCAAGGTCGAAAGAGCAGTCACAGAAAACTCGAACGAAGCAGCACGTGATCTAACAAGGAGGGGTGGATCAGTGAACCTTAGAAGCAACTGTACTTTGCACACCGAAACGACTCAACTTCGGTCTGTGAATCATACTACAAGATATCGCTTGACAAAGTGCAACCATGATGTGCTTTTCAGTCGAATTAGTTCACGGTTTGTACAGTTTTATCAACTTTCCGGAAACTAAACTACTTTTCACCTTCTAGAAGTTGAAAATCCACCGTCCGACGGAGTATGGTTAGGACCTTGAAAACCTCTAGTTTTAAACAGGTGTTTAGACCTTCTTGCAAATTAGATTAACCAAAGGGGCTGTCGTAACAACACAAATAACTTTTAGCATCAGTAGTATACCAGTTCATTCCGTTGTCAAATAGGTTATATCGATCGGTTCATTTGCTTTTTGGTTTTATTGATTTTTACTCATCAATCAGTCACAACCCCTCCCCCTGCTTCAAAACTCCGGGCCATTATATCCGAAACCACTAATAAGGGTAATGAAACTAATAGTGAGATAGCAAAAAGTAACCCGATTGAGATGAATGGTACTCATCAAACTGATTTCCAACAACCCTTGTGATCATCTACTAGGAAGTTAAAAGTTCAAAACTGTAGCAAATGGCGAATGTGGCAGATGAACCAACCCTAGTCCATCCCAGCATTTTCGAAGGAACGCCTTCGGGGTTTTCGGATTGTCATCTCAACCAGGTATGTTCCCCCACCCACGGAAATGACACGGGTAAAAATATCATCACGTGCTTTCCGCATCCAAACGTTTGCTTAAGGTTTTTCTACTTGTTTCATGTGAATGATCCAAGTAATCGGGACATATGAAACAAATACAATGAGGACTGAGGTCTTCAGTCCGTGTCATCTAGGTCGAGTGATTACCGCCAAACGCCCTAAGGTTCCACGAAATCACTTCATTAAGTAAAAAGCAGAAGGGATGATGGTGACCCTCCGGTGTGCTACCTTCAAGTTATTCACATGAACAGTGTTATGGGCACACCCATACCATGATGATCGGCAGAGTCCAGTCGGGGGAATCACACTATTCAGGAGTTTCGTTGTGCCAACTGTGTTTAAATCATAAAACCTTCCGAGCGATTGCTGTTTAGTGACTTTTCCCGGGGTGTAATCGGGCCCTAGGGGGGGGGGGGCGGGATGACAGAACGGTCTGTTCTTTCCAGTTTTATCCTTGATCCTTCCAAGCTTCCAGGCTTCCTTCTTTGATGTGCGATCTGCTTGTTGATTTACTAGTAAGAATAAGATTACTATTGATAATACTAATCTTTTAGGTTAAACACCCCTCCGGAGGCTAGTTTCCATGCCATCCAAGAGAAGTACGAGGGCCGAGATACTGTCATGACAGAAGCGGTCATGATGCCTGGGTTAAATACAAGGCGTGGTCAGTGAATTGGTGCCCTAACCACTGAGCCAGCTCAGTCATTTGTAGCTAACGATTATTGAACCGGCTACTTTTTTCCGGTCCCCATGAGCATCATCCACCTCTCCTGACAATTTTCTTGTGTGGCGGGGCGTAGGATGACTCAAACATGAGCCACGTTGTACCGATCTAATTTAGTCTTCAGTAGTATCGCATTTTTGTGCATTGTGTCCGTTGCATGTTATCATAGCTCGTGTGATCTGTGTTCGAAGGGACACAACATGAGTTTCGGACAACGTCAAACACTGTTGGGAGGTCGGCTGCGATAACTGATTATCACTCGGTCTGCCAGTTTTGGAAATTGGCTCCAGAAGGCCCTGTCTCCTATCGATCCTCACTGATCGGCTTGTACGTAACAGGTGAACATGGCAGATGCTCACAGTTTTGAACTCAGCTCCCCACAACTGAATGTGATTCACCCAGGTGCACTTGCTTTCACGTGTTAATTTTACTTGATGACTAGGCCGCCCAACGATTCCCTAATTTATTGTTCCATTTCCCAAAAGCTACTCGAAGTCGTTATCAAGCGTGATTTTGCGGAGTCGGTGCGTCAGTAGACAACGGTCCCACTGCCTTTTCTGGGCATCTTAGTAAGCGGAGTGGGAATAGATTTCCATCGCTATCTCGTGCTAAGCCATTCGTAAAAGTTTTCATCATTTAATTCCGCTGTCAGGGCGACTCTCTGGTTTCAAGGAGCTTGTAAAAGTACTTTCAAGGCTTGTCATATTAGTTTTACCGGAGATAGACAGGAAAGAGGTATTGATGATGGAAACTACTCACAAGGTTACTGAAATCTCTTCGGCAGCCCACGACCGGTTTCGACCTTCTTGGGGCTCACCTGGTAGGCGCAGTCCCCGAGTTTCCGTCAACCTTATGTTCTGAGGTGACCTGTGTGCAGCACATTCAGTTGTAGAATATCATAAGCGAGAGATTCAGTTGAGTCTCTCGTGAAAACCAAATTGTACGATATTCGAGATATCGCAGTGTATTTTCATAAAGGAAACTACTCACAAGTTTGCTGAAAATTCCTCGAAAGCCCACGACTGGTTTCGCCCTTCTTGGGGCTCACCTGGTAGGCGCAGTCCCCGAGTTTCCGTCAACCTTATGTTCTGAGGTGACCTGTGTGCAGCACATTCAGTTGTAGAATATCATAAGCGAGAGATTCAGTTGAGTCTCTCGTTAAAACCAGATTGATTTGCAAATGAGATGTTGGTGAGCTTAGGTTTGTTCAAAAAGAAGCAGGGGGTCTCGTCCAATAAAGCCTCTAGGGGAAATGTATGGAGGTAAAAAGTACACTACACATAGCCCAGAAGATGTATTGCGAGTATCGTACCGACTGAAGCATGAGGCTCTCTGGTGCAGCACATTCGGTTGCCTGGATACGTCATAAACGAGAGATTCAACCGGGTTCCCGGCGAGTCATGCGTCAAAACCAAATTGGTATACGCCGAGTTCCGGGGTTCAAACAGAACATGCGGTTGACGGAAACCTGAGGATCTGATGAGTCCCAAGAAAGTCGAGACCGATCTTGAGCTTCCAAAGAGATTTCAGCAACCTATGAGTAGTGTGTTACGTCTATAAAGACTTTTGAACGGTACGGAAGTACGCGCACACACCTATAGGCATAAAAGCAACAGGGGAGGCTTCGAAACAGCCAACTTTTTCACCTGCAACCACGACAACAAAGGGACTGTCCCAGAAGTGAAGTCCTGTGCGTATCTGTTCAACAGACGCAAATTTAATTTCTTTTTAGGAGGTGACAAGGACAAACTTTCTAAATAACAAGGGACTCATTTCTGGACTCTATTTGAGCCTACCTACTTCTTTTCTAACCGGGCTGGACAAGACCTATTCTGTTAGCTTACTGCGATGTAAAAATATCCAGTCGTTTTGGTTCCCATTTGTCGATTGTTTTTATTTGAGTAGGGCTCAGAATCAACTGTTCAACATGGTGGTCCGAAAACGGCCAATCAACAGTACACATTTGTCTGAATACTACTCAGTAAAGCAGAAAATCTAGCTTGCTTGTTGCGTTACGAACTGCATTCTTTCAAATCCATTGAGTGAGCTATGATTAGGTGAGTTCTGCGGTGCAC